ATCTCCTGGTAATTCCATGCATGGTTAGTGGACTAACTACGCATCTCGCCTACCATCGAGGACCTTGGGGATTGCGGTCAACTAGCCTCCCACACACCCCTCGCTGGAAGTCCATTCGTCTCATCTCACCTTAATCACAAGTCCTTCTCTCCTCCCATTGGGACACTTGCACCCTTGTCTACATCTCTTCTTGTATTCTGTGCACTTCATTGGCTCCCACAAACGTTCTTTTGTCCCCCCTATACACAATGGAATCCTACTCCACTCTCCTCAAGCGTGAGGACGCCTGTGAATCCGGGAATGAGTTCGATGGCCGCATGGGCCTGCGGATCTCCTCCGTCTTTGTGATCATGGTTGGCTCCATGTTTGGTGCTCTGTTCCCCGTCTTCGCCCGTCGCTTTAGCAAGAACGGTGGATTTCCTAAATGGGCCTTTTTCATCGCCAAGTACTTCGGATCCGGTGTGATCATTGCCACTGCTTTCATTCACCTACTGGCTCCCGCAGAGGAGGCACTCAAAAATGAATGTCTGACCGGCCCAATTACTGAATACAGCTGGGTCGAGGGCATCATCCTCATGACCATTGTTGTCCTGTTCTTTGTGGAGCTGATGGTAATGCGTTTCTCGCACTTTGGTCAAGGCCATTTGCACGATGAGGAAGGCAATACCCACACCCATCTCGACGATCAATCTCTCGTCAACGAAACCAATGAGCCGAAGATTCACATGCCAGGGGAGGACCACCTTGGTCATACCCGTGAGCATCACGATAACAGCGATTCCGAAAACGACATCAAAGCGGCTGAGGACTACGCCGCCCAGCTTACTTCGATCTTCATCCTGGAGTTCGGTATCATCTTCCACTCTGTCTTCATCGGTCTCACTCTTGCGGTGTCTGGTGCCGAGTTCACTACCCTTTACATTGTGCTTGTCTTCCACCAAACCTTTGAAGGACTTGGTCTTGGTTCTCGTCTGGCTACCATTCCCTGGCCCAAATCGAAGCGCAACACTCCCTACATCCTGGGCTTTTGCTTTGGAATCTCGACTCCGATTGCTATTGCTATTGGCTTGGGTGTTCGAAACAGTTACCCACCTACTGGCCGAACCACACTCATCGTCAACGGTGTCTTTGACTCTATCTCCGCTGGAATTCTCATTTACACTGCCCTTGTTGAGCTGATGGCGCATGAGTTCATGTTCAGTCACTCCATGCGCAAGGCTCCCATCCGCGATGTGCTGATTGCCTTCTTCCTTCTTTGTGCTGGAGCTGCCCTCATGGCGTTGCTGGGCAAATGGGCATAGAGCCATCTCTGTTGCTTCTGTGATGATGAAAAAAATGCGGGAATATTCTTCTTCCCAATAATGTGTCATGTCTTTGCTTTCTTTGCCAAAATCTTCTATGATGGTCAGAAATCGTTCCTGCATATGTGATACCCACGGGGTCCGGGCCAGTTTTAGCCATACTCGAATCCGGCGTTACTTTAGCGAGTTTATCTACTTAAAGCCGATGAATGAAAAAACCGTCAGAACCATTCAACTAAGGATAGTGAAGTAGTAAATCAATAGATAACATGAACTAGTAGTAGACCTAGATAGGCTTAGCGAGGTTGATCTTATATATTTCCGTAGATGTAACCCACGTGCTTAGACATCACGAGACATACCAAGCCCAACTCTAAAGCCAACCATAGATAAGCCATTGGCTTAATTCTTATTGTACGCTTAACCATCGTAGGGCTAGTTCCTGATAGGGGCCTTCCCCGCTCCAACTTGTACAACAGGTCGAAAATGAAATAGGTAGCAGATTACCAGGGGTGCTTGTCCCCCTTGATCCCTCCAGTCTCATCTTAATCCAAACCTCTACCAACGCCATCTCTCAAGGGCTGTCTAAATGGCCTCAGCACGAAACTTGACCGCACTCCATGGGTGCGATGAGTCCAAGACTGCGACTCAAGACACTATCGACCAAGTTGGCCCTGCTCATTCATCGGGTACATCGCCAAAGCAGCAGAGTCTGTCAGACCTCTTCACTATTGTGAGCGCCTTATCCTGGCCTATGCATGCCAGGTTATTTTCCGCTTTCCCCGCACTCGCGGTTCAAGCCAGCAACTGATAGACTGATTAACTGGATGTTGTTCAATAGTTCGCAAGCGGCTTCGCCCTTATCAGCGATGGATACCAAAACAATCTAATGTGGGTCGAGTGATTGCTCCCATGCATGCATGACTATGTCTAATCGTAGAACATCTCACAGGACTATGACCAATGTCCTCCTTAAAAAGGAATATCCCAAGGAGTACACTAGCACCGTCAGCACGCGCGTTTCGAATGCTCTACTTGTCGGCGAAGTCATTGGACAGGTTGTTATTGGGTACGGACAACACACCACTAAAATTTAGGGCTATGGAAAGGTTCTGATGACTGATTATGCTATACCAGACTGACATGTGATTATCTCGGTCGTAAGACTGCTATCGTCTTCACAACCTTCATGATTGTCATCGGAGGTATTCTCGCCACAGCCTCGCATGGCATTACCATCAATGGCATGTTCTGGATGATGACGGTTGCCCGTGGCATTGTCGGGTTCGGTAAGTAAACCCTCAACGACATCATTCCGGTTTTGCTACTCTACTAACTATCCCCAGGCGCCGGCGGGGAGTATCCGGCCTCTTCGACTTCCGCCTCGGAAGCAGCAAACGATCTAACCCCGAAGCACCGTGGTCCAGCATTCATCATGGTAACCAATTTCCCCTTGTCATTTGGGGGTCCATTCGCAGTTTCAATCTTCTTGATCGTACTCTTGGCCTGTCAGCAATCTCACTACAGCACCGTGTGGCGGGTGTGCTTTGGCATAGGATGCATCTGGCCGCTGTCGGTGTTCTACTTCCGAATCCGAATGCTAAACTCGGTGTTGTACCGACGCGGAGCCATCAAGAAGCACGTACCCTACATGCTTGTGCTGCGGTATTACTGGAAATCATTGATTGGGACTTGCGGTGCTTGGTTCCTCTACGGTAAGAGATCCCCCAATACTTGCAGAGGCACGGAAATTCTAATATGTTCAGACTTCGTCACTTTCCCCAACGGCGTCTTCTCCGGTACAATCATCTCCTCGGTCGTGCACGACGGCACAATCCTGAAAACAGGCGAATGGCAGCTTCTCCTCGGTGCAATCGCGCTGCCGGGTGTTTTCCTCGGAGCCATTCTCTGCGACCGCCTTGGCCGCAAGCCTATTATGATGATCGGCTTCAGCGGATACCTGATCTTCGGTCTGATTATCGGTTGCGCCTACGACCGCATTACTAAGATCGTGCCTCTCTTCGTCGTCTTCTATGGACTGATGCAGAGCTCGGGCAATTTCGGTCCGGGCAATATGCTCGGTTTGATCTCGTCTGAGTCGTATGCTACCGGTGTTCGAGGGACCTGTTACGGGCTCTCTGCGGCTATTGGGAAGGCAGGTGCTGCTGTCGGTACGCAGGCGTTTCAGCCTATCAAGGATCGTCTGGGGAACAAGTGGACTTTCATTATCGCTGCTATTTGTGGCGTCGTTGGGATCTTGGTTACTTTTTTCTTTGTACCTGATTTGACGGGCGAAGACTTGAGGGTGCGCGATGAGAAGTTCCGTGCTTACCTTGTTTCCAACGGGTGGGATGGCGATATGGGCGAGGATGATTTGAAAGCGACTGCCGATCATGTCATGGCCCCGGGTCTTCCTAATGGAGATGATAAACTCGTAAGCCAGTAAAGGGCGAGAATGGCTTTCGGTACACGACAATCGTCGGTGGATAGCCGAAGGTCAGGAATGGGGGTGTTATGACATCCCCAGATGAACTCAAAGCCAACAGTTGCTCGGATCTCAATTGTTGAGGTAGGGCCACAATGGGATATCCACATATTGCAGTCAATAATACGTAACACAAAATCTTTCAAATATCTCAAAGTATACAACTACTAGTCATGTAGTTACAGCCACCTATGTATATATCCAGCCTCTGCTTCATTTGGTATCTGTACTGGGGGTCAATTATCCGTATTTCCAAAAGAATTGGTAAAATATAGATAATAATCAATAAATATCTTCCAAGGTGATACCTAAATAAAACCTTGATTCACAACCATGGACGTAAACCTCCAGGGCTTGAAGCTTAAAGCACAGACCAACGCTAAACCTCGGTCCCATCTCCGCCCATCTGTCCACATCCCCAAACTCCTTATCTCTCCAATTCCCCTCCAATCCACCCCATAAACACACAATGCGTCTCACCTCCATCCTCGTCGCAGCCCTCGGCTCCCTCGCGGCGGCCGCCGAGCTCGGCATCGAAGTAACCCACGCCGTCGAGTGCACCCGCAAGACCACCAACGGCGACGGAGTTGCCATGCACTACCGCGGCACCCTGCAGTCCGATGGATCCGAGTTCGATTCCAGCTACAAGCGCAAAGCGCCCTTGACCTTCAAGCTGGGTACCGGTCGTGTCATCAAGGGGTGAGTTGAAAGTTATCTGGGGCTGTTTGAAGATGTCAATCGTGGAATTGCCTACAGACTTCCCCCATTGTCTTTGGTTGTTCGTATGGAAGCTAGAAGCTAATTCGTTGTGTTCATTGTATACAGATGGGACCAGGGCTTGCTTGACATGTGCATTGGCGAGAAGCGCACGCTGACTATCCCGCCCGAGTTCGGCTACGGCGACCGCGGTGTTGGCCCTATCCCCGGCGGTGCGACGTTGGTGTTTGAGACCGAGTTGGTCGGTATTGACGGTGTGAAGGATGAGCTTTGAATCAGCGATGTTTGATACCTATCTATGTAACTCTCTCTGGGAGGAGTTCTGATGACTAGGCCATGATATCCGGCCAAGAACAAATATATACCTTTTCGAATGCGAGTCGTTGTATAATATAGCAGCAGGGTATCTCATTTCTATGTGGTAAGATGTACACTGTATACAAACCGGCTGAACAATTACAGCAAGGTAAAACAACGATCGAAAAGTGAATCAAGTATTAGTCCATCGCATCCAGAGCATTCTCAGTCTGGATATCATGCTCCGAAACAAGAATTCCGATCAGACACTCCCCAAGGATTCCTTCCCAGTTGACCCACGGGTGGATCTCCTGGAACAGCTGCGCAGAGTCCTTCCCCGCACCACGGAGGAGCTCACCCTTCCCACCTGGATGGTAAGGGGCGTAGGGGGAGATATTGTACACCTTTCCATTGTACGAAGTCCAGGCATCACGACCCTTACGTCCATTGTACTCCTTTAGCATTGATGGTGTGACCCGCAACAGGCCTGGGGGAAGGCCTTCGCCGCGGAGGTTGTTCTTCGGGTTCGCAGCTAGCGCTGCCCAGTCAAGGGGGAGAATCCTGGCTGGAGAATCACTTTGCGTGATGACTTCTTCAGAGACACTTGCGTCGGGGCGAGGGTGCTGTTGCTAAGACGGCTGCCGCTGCTCGGTGGGCCCAGGCCGCGCTGAGAGGCGGCCGCTGATGGTGGCGGGCCAAGAGAGCTGCCACTGAGCCGTGGTGGTTGCAGCGTGCTTGTGGGGGTGAGGCGGTTCGCTTGTGTGGCTGGTCGGGGCCGTGGCACTGGGGGAGGAGGCATTAGGGAAGAAACGCCGGTGGTTGTTGCCTTCGGCGGTATGGGTAACGGTTGTGGTTTCGGAGGGGGTGCGAGAGATGGCTGTGGTGGAGGTTGGAACTTTGGTGCGCCATGATCACGGTTTGTGGGAGATATTTGCTCTGCTGTTCCATTTATAGGCTGTGAAATGGACGGCATCGTGGCGGGCTGCGATGTCTTGCTCTCGCTATTGTCCAGGCTGAATGTGGGGACCGCAAGGACGGGGAGTGGTGCGCTCAACGCCGAAGCCTTGGGTGTTCTCTGGGAATCCTCCTCCTCTGTCTCTATTGCTGTTGTCGAGACCCGTGAACCATGCTTCTGTTGCACGGGCTCGTCTGTGGTGTCAGCGGCAACCGGCGCGCCGGGTTTGGGTTCCGGAGGGGCAAACGAACGAGGTTCGGCCCAGTTGCGAGGAGGGTAGCGGTAGAGAAAGTAGCCTATTGTTGCTATTAGTACACCCGCACCTACCCAGCCCATGCTGAACTAAATTTGAGATGCGTGGAAGGTGAGAAAAGTGAATTCAAAGGGTGTTCCTGATTAGAATCACGATCTTGCAGATTCGCCGAGGAAATTGGCCCGTGCGCGATCAATGGAAGATCTATGCAGCTTTCAGGGTCTATTTGCTAGAAGCTTAAATATCATTAGGGTAAAGGATATTTCAATGGTTTGAGGGATTAATTAGACTTATCGAAGTGAGATATCTAAAAGAAGAGGATTTACTACGCTATCTGTCCTAAGTGCTGGGGAAGAAAAAAAATCATTGCCGGCAGTCAAATATCAGACATTGCTGGCAAACCTCCAGGGCTGTCTGGGGAAGGAATAGACTCCGGGGAAGCCATTGAAAGCCACCAATTGGATATTGGTAAATAACCTCGCATCGATCAAAAACAGAAGGCGTTCATGATGTCAGTGCATCATCATCCTCCACAGATATCGTGACAGAACTTCCAGAGCTTGTCTATGCTCTTGCGAGGGATTGATCCTTGCACATAAACTGCCAAACATGGTTGTGGCTCACAGAGCCATGAGGGACCAAATGTTCCGCAAAACAATGTCTACCTCGGACGCAATCACGCTCTTTGATGCTGGGGCTGGTCAAGTGAGTGTCATGGTGTATGGCCCTCGCACAGCTATCGTACTTATCCGAAATGAAATGGCAGTCCCAGGGTGGTAGGAAGTATCAAGAGGATCGGTGTGCAGTGATTTTCCCGAACCAGTTTCCTTCGAACATGAAGGACAACGTTGCATTCTTCGCAATCTATGACGGGCAGTAAGGAAAGCCTCGAGATGCGGCCTTTAGACCAGGCTTGAACTGACCAAGATCTCCAGTGGTTCCGGATTGGTTTCAGAACATGTTCATAAAAGTCTGCACCACCTGCTCGGACAGCGCCCGGAGTTCGAACAAGACGATTGGGCCGCGGCTATCAAGGCAGCACTGGCGGAAGAAGACAGCATTCTGTTGGATAGGTTTGAGCATGAATCTGCCGAGCCTGCCATTTCAGGGTCGACAGTGGCAATGTGTTGCCTTAATCTCACCAAGGGCGAGTTGATGGTCTCCAATTTGGGTGATTCGCATGTTATCCTGGCTGAGCGGGATCGGAAAACAGAGCACCCGTATCACATTGTAGGCATTGTTGTTGATTTGGGTATTTATTTGGGCGTGAATGCTAATACCCATACACCAGCGACGTCTCACAGAGGCTCATAAGCCCTCCACTCCCAGCGAAAAGACCCGAATTGAGCAGGCAGGCGGGGTAGTCAACAATCGCAGCGGGACAGAGCGTCTTGGTGAGTTAAAAGGAAAAGGAGAGTGACCTTCCAAAAATACCTACTAACTCTGGAAGGACAGGATCCTTGAATATGTCACGAGCATTGGGGGACTTGCAGTACAAGAATCCAGTGAATACTTTGGAGAACTCCATGCCAGACCCCGCCTCGTCAGCTACCAGCCGATCGGAATCTCGGGGCAACTTCCTATCCAATGACCCTTACACTTCGCGACGCACCTTACACACGGACCGCCGTTACCTGCTACTAGTGGTGTCCGACGGAGTTACCGATCGAGTGGACGATACGAACCTGGTTCAGCACGTGATGAAATTATCGATGCGGGGAAAACGAGCAAATGAAATTGCACAAGAAATCGCCACCAATAGTGCTAACAAACCTCACAGTGATAATGCAACGTGTATTGTAGCAATGTTGGACGGACAGGGATCTTGAGATCTAAATTATATCCAATACTACACAAGATATACTATCTAGGTACCTAGGTATATACTAAGTATACTAAGTACTTTTGTACTAACCATGGGCTATAGTTAGTAGCCAAAGTAAAGGCCAAGTTCCACTTGCAAAATGTTATGCAGCTGTGCCACTCACAGCCTACCAACGGTTCGCTCCTTACCCAATGAAGAAGGTGGTGTTGGACCTTTTGGGACTTTTTAGGCCGATTTGGGCCGATTAGGGATTTTTCTTTTTTTTTTTAACTGAAAAAAAACTTTTACAAATCATTTTTAACTATTTCTTCTTTTCGTCTCTTGGGCCGAGCCTAAGTGAAAAAAAAAAATTGAAATGAAAAAAACAGAAGAAGAAACGTATACCAATTAATTCCATCGTGACGGCATTCATAACAAAATATCCAAGAAATCTAAGAAAATATACGCAGGTTCAGGGAAACTTGTGTTCCCCACAGCTTTTCCTTTTTGTAAATGATGCAATTTGAATTTTATATTGTATACATCCAAACTAACACTGCAGGATTTCGTATAATTCTACAATCGGCTTCTCCGTATGTCGTAACCTCCCCCGCCCTACAAGGTCGTCTGCTTATCGCTGCCGCTTTTACCCTGTGTTGTCCAACCAAATCTCGGGATTGTTCCTAGTCCAATATATCTACTTCGTACAGTTGAAAACTCAGAGGCACCGACAGGGGACCAGTACCAATCTGTTGGAAACCTGTCAAACCACTTTAGGCAGGCGACTCAGTGTCCGGGTGGAGTAAGCAAAAGAAGCATAAGATCCGGCTCTAGTCACCTTCCAGAACGGTCAACCCTGCAGAGGATCTCCCGAGCTCATTAGATACAAAATCGCCCGGATATTCCACGAATTTTTTCCCCTTCCCCTTCTAGTCGAATTTTTTTTTTTATTTCCATTATTGCGTTCATATCTTTCTTTCCATATATTCTCTCTCTTCAATGATCCTGACAGAAACCTGGAACCCTCAAACATCCGATATGGCACCAAAGGAATGGAGTAACTTCCATGTGGGAAGAGAATGTAGCCACCAAAAATGGTCTCGTCAAAACACCCCCAAGCTCACCGTCTCCTCCGGCGAGACCGTCTCTTTCGATGCTATCGATAGTAGCAATGGCCAACTCGACACGTCATCTAAGGCCTCAGCCATCAAGACATTAGATCTTGACCATGTCAACCCCGTCTTCGGTCCGATCTATATGAACGACGCCCAACCCGGCGATGTCCTCAAAGTGGAAGTCCTGGACCTTCAGGTTGCCGACTGGGGGTGGTCCGCCATCATCCCAGGCTTCGGTCTACTAGCAGACGAGTTCTCAGAGCCCGAGATCAAGATCTGGGAGCTGAACCGCGAAGCAGGCTTCGCTCAATTCAAGAACATGCGGATCCCCTTGCGTCCCTTCCTCGGATGCATGGGTCTCGCCCCCGCCAACGACGAAGAACTCTCGACCGTCCCGCCCACAAACGCCGGTGGAAACATGGACTGTCGAGAGCTCAGCGTCGGCTCCACCGTCTTCCTCCCCGTTCAAACCGCCGGCGCCCTCTTCAGCTGTGGTGATGGCCACGCTGCACAAGGCCATGGCGAGGTCTGCGGTACCGCCATCGAAACCCCGATCCGTGCTACCCTCCGCTTTGAACTCCTCAAGAACCAGCCCTGGATGACTGCTCCTCAGTTCCAGACTCCTCCCCGCGCCCAAATACCGAACCCCCTTCCCGACCTTGGAACTTACGGTGCTCTCGGTATTGCTCCTGACCTGTACGAGGCTACCAGAAGTGCCACTCGGAATCTTATACAGTGGTTGGTGCAGACTAAGGGTCTTACTCGCAGCGAGGCATACATTCTCGCTAGTGTTGCTGGTGACTTGCAAATTGCCGAGGTGGTCAACGTGCCCAATTTTGAAGTGGCCATGACACTGCCCTTGGGGATCTTCTCTTGATATACTTTTCCTTTCTTTTTCTTTTTGGAACATGTCCTTGACTAATTCCAAGAGGACATATGCTGGCGTGATACCCTTTTGGGATTATTGATTGGTTTTGTGATTTCATTTCGATTTGGCATATACTGGTGTGGCTGGTATGGTGTATTTGCATGATTCAGGATAAGCGTTACTCAAGCGAGCATTACATTCTTAATACAGAGTCTTCTCTTTGACCGAGAAATTTATCGTTACTTCATCCGTACCATTTCATCAGTGTACTGGCTTTTCTCTACTACCGGGCCTACCTTAGCTGCCACTTTTGTGAGAGTATGACCATACTAAAATCAGGCTCACTTAAATAAATTTCGGTCCCTTAATGATTCAGCCCTGTGCTGGGTTTTACCTATATTCGATGCTAATCCAAATATGTCAAAAAAAATCCAGTATCTCGTTGGCTCCAATTTGAACCTGGGACATACCTTGTGTCTCCACGTATGGTGCCTCGATACCGAGTAAGCAACCTAGCACGTGAGTACTGTTTCTTATGCGCCGCACGCATAGTGATCGTTGTCGACGGTAGAATCGTGGGCCTTGGCATATGTGGATATCCAAATGGCCCGTGCGTAGTTGATACAAGAGCCAGAACCATATAACTAGCCGATTTTTTGTAGGTTACAGGTAGTGTATTATCGAAGCTTAAACCTCCTACGGGTAGTCTGCATATCACTTAGTGATGGGTTGACATAAAGTATCTTCCACACTCACATGCTGTAGGTAGTCAAGATGGCAGCGTCATCAAATGGCACGATATCCGTGTGTGACAAGAAAACTATGAGGTGGTGTGAGATTGCGAGGGATGAGAGGCTCTTCATCATCAATGGTACCTCAATCGTAGGCCTATGATAGTCAACAACCCCTCCCCAAGGCTCAGATCTGGGGCCTCCCAAAAAGCCATTTTGAAACCAGATATGTGGACCAGATCACAAGGAGCATTCTTCGCTTCGGGCCAAGTTCGATACGATTTACCCGTTGTTGTTAGAAGGGTTTAAAATAGGTGGTCCGAATTAAGATCTCAGTTGATTCGTTGTTTCCAAGATTGCACCGAGGGGAGGTATGGAGCATGCAATACAGTTGAGGTAGTTTGTATGAACATTTTTAGACTACCTTGGGTCTAGATATTGTGATTGTGCTTGTATTCCGTTTAATGTCGTTGGCGCAGCCACAGCCAACAGCCGATGGACTAAGCTCCAGGGAAATTGTCGAATTGGAGAAAAGCCCACGGGCCTCGCGTGGAGCCGACAAGACAAATGTACCATTGCTGTCCCCACTTCGAGATCTAATGCTCGAAGCGAGGTCTTTGTCCTGTCACAGCGCTCTCCATAACGGATTCGGTTTGGATCGTCCTGTCATATTCGCTGTTGGACATTCTGGGTGCTAAGCGTTTCGCGCTGTTCTCATTAGTTCAAGTTTTCGCCCGACACTAGTTTATGAGTAGCAATTGCTCCGTATAAGCGAAGATATTCTGTTCATTTCATCTCGGAGCTCAGAGAACCTGAGATTAAGATTGGTGAACGCAGGATTATAAAGAGAAAAAAAGCCTGCTATAATAAAGAGCAACATCATTGCTCTATCCTTGCCTTTCTACGCGATTGTCTGGTTTTTCTGTGGAAAAAATGAAATTCCTCTCTTTCTGCGTATTCTCGTTTGCCATCGCGAGCTCAACTATGGCGTCCACGGCTAACGATGCTGTCCCAATCGAGATTTCATCCCTTGCTAGTGGCTACACGCCCGAGGTCTATACCGATGCTGGCACGATCGAGGCAATCCGGAATACACTAGCCATCTATGCTTTCGCTGTTGATGGCAAAGACTTCGATGCCCTTAGCAAGGTCTTTACCACTGATGCAATAGCCAACTACTCGGCGCCCCTCAACGTGTTGACCCCTCTGAAAACGATCCAATCTGTGCTGAGCAAAAGCCTGGGATGTGTAACCACGCAACACCTTTACGGTACACAACGGATCGATGTACTTTCTCCCATCACAGCCAAGTCGGTGACATACTTCCGTGCCGCCCACTTCGGGAAAGGAGACAAGGGGAATGAGGTAGACTATGCCTATGGCCAATATCAGGATAACTGGCAACGTCAATCTACTGGTACCTGGCGTATCATTCACCGCAATCTTGTTTATATGGTGGGTGCATTCTCCCACGAGCTGGCTGCCACAAAAAGTACTAACTCAAGATCTACCTAGGGTCCTCAAATTGGAAATATGTCTGTTTTCGTGTGCTAGCTCTAAAAGTCAATATGTATTTATAGTCAGATCTCTCTTTTTGTTCCCATGGAGCTATATAGAGCTCCATAGCAGTAAGTAGATCACCTTCTTGCTTTCACTTTATAGAGACGTAGCCAAGTACGTCTATCAGCAACATGTCATATGATTAGCCTTGTTCTCTTGAGGTTCCGTTGAATGTTCCTGTAGAACTTCAGTTACACTAACATGTTGCCGAGCAGCACTACTTTCACTGTTCTTGTATCATAAATATTTGTTCCTACAACGTTTACAGTTCCTTTCTGTTCGGGGTAGTCTAGAACAATTTCATTCATCCCGCTCCCAGCAGGTGTACTTCGCATCTACCAACTCTTTCTTTCTCCGCCCTAGTTTCCAGGCATAGCAGCTATAGTGACAATAGCTTTCATTGCATATCTCTTACTAACGACCTTTATATATGTATACTTATTTGATTGAAATTGTGCATAGGGAGTTACTATGCAGATTCCAGCCAGTACCTCGCTAACTTCACTTTCACATGCCCATTCCGGTATATTCAAATCCAAGTATGCCAGGCAACAATGTTTAGTCGCCTAGAAAAGACCTTTCAGGCTTTAATTGAGTGGAGCTGTGATAGAGAGAGATAGAGAGAGAGAGAGAGATAAGGTTCTGTTATAGGCAGGTGAATGTCATGTCGTGCAGAAGGTGGACCAACCAGGGCCTAGGCAACCTAATAAGAATTACGATAAAGCGGCGAGCGACTAATACTAAAAGTGGAAGGTCTACTATAAGTCTTTATCGGACCTTGCTTGTGGTCCAATGACCAAATCCTCTCGTCTCTCTCTTCTTCTTCACATGACCTCGACTTCAACCCAATACAAACCCTTCAACCACAGCGCACTCCTGACTTCGCCACACAGTAATGGACCGTGCGTCCTTGCAATCGTCAGGCCTGTCCCGCCTTGCTTGAGCGCTTGTATCAGATAGGCAGGTCGGGATCCGGAAGGGCGGGAGACATCGGGCCCACTGCCGGTGAAAATTGAAAGAGAAACCTCAAAATATCAGAAGATGGGAAGGGACTCTGTGAGCGAGTCATGCAATGATACCTCCGAGGCACGGGAAACGCATTTCAAATCCGAATTTTCACTTAGTTGCGTTTCATGCAAAAGTCCCAAATTCCAACTCCGGACTCCGGATACTTAGCTCATCTCGGTCTAATGACCACATGTCAACTTTACAGGGTTTGAAATTTGGCGTCTGCGTCAAATCCTGGCGTAAAATACGTATTAGGAAGGTCAGGTGGCTGCAGTCATTGTCTAGAAAGCTCCACTATAATCCTATGATAATCATAAATACGCGTATCCGCTCCGTGCCGTTCTAGCACTACGGCGCATCTGTGTGCCAAGTGATTATCAATAGTTATCGACATAATGAAACAATTGGCTTTCCCCTCACCCCTCCGAAGTCGAGATGGTGTACATGTTCGAAGTCCTCTTCATGGGTCTCGCTGCAACGATGTAATATCTCCTTGAGAAAGAGAGCTTACATTGCTTGGCATAACCTTCTGATATTGGTATATTACGACCTGCCTTAATTGGATTTTGACCGGGTTTTGTTAACTCAATTCTATAAAATTTGCACTTCCCGTTCGTCTGTTTCTTTGAATGGAGCAGAATTCGAGACATCGCCTTCCAATCTCGGTAACTTTCATGGTAGAGTTAGGCAGAGGGGCCGTCAGTCTTGCAGAACCAAGTATGTAGTTAAGGTATGGCGCTATTTATGTATCCATAAAAACTTAGTTAATATAAGGCTTAGTAGCTATTTTGAAGTGATTACTAAAGACTCGTCCATGTCGGTTGTTCTTCCTACGGTATAGATAGTGAAACACAGCACGGATTACAACATTCAAGAGCAGTGATCTACGCTTTGTCTAAGAAAATGAGATTAACATGTACTAGGGATATTCAAAGATTATCAAAATATTGCCAGGCATCTAATAAAAATATAGGAAGAAGGCGGAAAGTATGATGAGTTCATGGCCTATTTTAATGTCATTTTTAGTATGTGTCAGGTTATTAAAACATTCGAATTTCTATTTTTATACTAGAATGGGAACGTTCAAGGGTATCAATATGGACCGTAGAGTCGATAAAGACAAAACAGGCATATAGGATGTCTATACTACAAGGCTGGACATAACCTCCCTCTATTCAACCCTCAACTATCCACTCTACGGAGGTCTTCGAGGGTCGTCGTCTCACAATTACGCCCCTAATGCCATTTTGTATCCAAATTATCCAAATTTAGCATCAAGAGACAATTAACAGCTTCAAATTCCATTAATTCTTCAAATATTCGACTTCCTCAATATAGAGCGGAAGTGTCACATGACGTCGCGTTTTCTCGCGTCTCCTCCTCACAGGCACCCGAGCGTTGCTCAAACACCCCACATGTCATGGATCCGATCTTAGATGGCTTGAATCATGCCCAGCGAGAAGCCGTCACCTCATCTGGTTCAATCCTGCAAGTACTCGCACCACCGGGCTCGGGCAAGACAAAAACATTGACCGCACGCGTCGCGTACCTCCTCTCACATCACGGATACCAACCGCAAGATGTTATCTGCTGCACATTCACTATCAAGGCCAGCCGTGAGATGCGGGAGCGGCTCGCAAAACTCATCGGAGAAAAACTCGAATCGCGCTTGATTCTCGGCACTTTTCATTCCATCTGTCGCCGCTACTTGGTCAAGTACGGATATTTGATCGGCCTACGGAAGGGGTTTGGCATTGCGGATTCGGATGATACCCGCGCAATTATCAGAGTATGATTAACACTTTTATGTTGTATTGGTTTGTTTTATCTTCTCTAATTGTGACCGCAGAGAACCATTAAACGACTGAAGTCTAGCATTGAAGTCAAGGCAGCACAAGGCCGAATTTCTCGACATAAAGCACATGGACTGAGTCCTGATGCCCTAGCCGATAAAGCGAAAGCGGAGGAGTTAGAGTTAGTTGATATCTATCGTGAATATGAATCAGCACTGGCAGCCTCCAATCTCTTGGATTATGATGACCTCCTTCTGCGATGCGGAGATCTACTCCGAGACCACCCACAATGTGTCTCAAATGTGCAGGCCGTCTTGGTTGATGAGTTCCAGGACACTAACATCATACAATATGAACTAATGAACCTCTTCGCATCTAAGAACCGACGAATCACCATTGTGGGAGATCCCGATCAAAGTATCTACGGCTTTCGTTCTGCAGAGATACAGAATCTCAAACGGATGCAGCGGCGATATTCAAACACGACGGTTGTGCTCTTGGAAGACAATTACCGCTCTGCGGGTTCTATCTTGAATGCAGCCCAGGAAGTGATTGAGCAGGATACAAGTCGGCCTGCAAAGGCACTGTTGGCTACGCACTCTTTTGGGACCTTGCCCGTGCTGAGAAGACTCCCAACCCCCAATGCAGAGGCGCAGTGGATGGTACTTGAGATCAAGCGATGTGCAGCGATGACCGGTGGTCTACTGCGCATGTCTGACTTTGCCGTCCTACTCCGGTCGGCTTCGCTGTCTACACAAATCGAGACGGCCTTTGGAAGAGCAGGTATACCGTACAAGATGGTTGGAGGCCGAAAATTCTTTGACCGGACCGAAGTCAAGATTCTTCTCAATTATATGAGGGTTGTGAGCCACACGGGGCATTCGGACGCGTTGATGAATATTGTGAATGTTCCACCACGAAGGATTGGCGATGAGACAATCAAGCAATTGACTAGCGGCGCAGAGAAGGCCAAAATTTCACTTTGGGACTTCATCAAAGATGTCATCCAAGGACGCCGTTCAACTGAGAAGAAACTGCAAAAGGCCGCAGAGCAGGGACTTTGCGCTTTGGTTAACTTGATTGAAGCCTCCAGGCAGAAGTTGCAAGAGTGTGAGGATGCATCCGCCCCACGTATTCTGATTGAGTTCATTGCCGAACGTCTCTCGTTCCAGGAGTATCTCATTAGAACCTACCCCCTTGATGAAGACAGCCGCTGGGCAAATGTTAAGGAATTGATGCACCAAGCCACTGAAGTCGCTGCGTTTGAAGAGGAAGAGGTTGATAAAGAAATGGATCTCCCTGAAATCGAAGGTGTGCAGCAACAGCAGGCACATTCTGGCGAGGAGGCTCTCACTCGGTTCCTAGCAAATGTCGCCTTGGCTACAGAGATCACAACCAAAGAAGAAACCAAGGAGGGCGACCAACCGCTGGAGAAAGTCACTATCTCAACCATCCACGCTGCCAAGGGTCTGGAGTGGCCAGTCGTGTTTGTTCCTGCAGTATACAATGGGAGTATTCCTCACTCGCGTGCGGAGGTGGTAGAGGAAGAGAGACGATTATTGTATGTCGCAATGACCAGAGCACAGGCCCTGTTATACCTGAGTGTTCCTATCCGACAGCCCCGGCTAGGAGAAGGAGAAGATGGCGCTACCACTTTGACGCCATTCCTTCCTCCCAAGTTAACCAAAGCGCGCTTTCGGCCAACGGGACCGTCTCTTCATGAGAAGGTGGTGTATGCAATTGCCGATATCCTGCGTCGCCCTCGGCCATCTCTCGAGGACATGTACAAGGGGCTAGAGTTTCTTCCATCGACGCTGGACGACCGATGGACAGCCGAGGGCGAGGAAGACCGCAGCAAATTCGATGGCACATCTACGTCTCATGATGCCTCTGGCGAGCCCAATCCAAAGCGACGGCGGTCAGACATGAATCAGGGGCCAAAAACGACTACCTACGTCTCATCGACCGGGTATACCATGAACAACTCGACAGGGTTTACGATTCCAACAACCGTTTCAACGGGTTTTACATCTGCCCGGGATTACATAGCGGCCAACCCCGAACCCCCCGCGGAGTCAGCCTCAAAGCCTCCGTCAAATGCAGACGCAAATGCAGCTGGGGCAAACAAACCGAAACCGGTTACCAACGCAGGCCGCAAAGACGGACTCACACAAGCAAGCATATCCAACTTTTTTGCAGGTCCAGGATCCCAGAAGAGGGAACCAGTTCTACCTAGGTATCCCCAGCCACCACCATCTCGCAAATACGAAGGGCTACCCTCGCAGAACCAACGCTCGGGGGCAAGCATCGTCCCACCTACTCTCTCCTCTCACCGTGTTCAGCCACGGCCACTTATTCCAACACGGCCGACGCTGGAGCCTACAAACCCCAATGGCTACACGTGGCTGGCAGCCCCGTCAAAGCCAACCCTGAAACCTGCCAGGATGTCCATGACGCAGGAACAGAGCAGCAATAGTACATCCGCAGGCGGGACAGCCGGGGCAGACGAGGTGAAACCCGAGAGCTCCACTCGCGGGTACCAGCCGGTGACGACGTTCCACAGCACAACGATGTCAATGGTTCAACAAGCACCGCGACGGACATTGGGAATTCGGCGGAGCATGAATGGGTGGCAAGATCGGATGAAGCGAGAAAGCGGTGGATAGACGAGCTGACACGATTTACCCGATTTCGGGGGAGGCTGGTCTAGAATCATGGACGGTATGGGTATCCGGTATGGGGTATCTATGTTGTATGTCCACGGGACCAAATCAGAAGGGGGGAGGGGACAGGTAATCCACAGGCTTTGCAGTCTTCATTGCTGGTTCTGGCGTTGCTGGGGAAGCCCACCCGGGGTATACTCAGCTTGGAAAGTGATTGACCAGGAAAGGGTTGACTCTAGGGCCAGAATCTCTCGGTCTGGATGGAATGACGCACATCCGTGCACTACCAACGAGACTATGAGTTGTTTATGCATTGCTCTATAGGGTGATGTATATGTACCTAAGTTTCATAATTAATATTTTTCCCCATGGGATGACCTTGTATGAATCGGGACGGGCAGATCATCCGAGCCTAACAAGATTAGGCCTGACTATTGACCAAAAAAATGAGTACAGCATAACTATATGTTTGAATAAAAAAATAATTGAGACCTAAGATGTCTGGACCACAGTGGAGTGCTAATTGCGGTGAATCCTCCCCCCTGGTTATTTGGTCGTTTCTGGACAATGCTACATAGAGTACTCCATAGAACATATGTTTAATATGCTAGTATGTGCTTATATACACGCACTTGGTCCAGCCGCCATTGGCGCAGTCCACCTAGCGGTGAGGAAGGAATTCCCAACGCATTAAATAATTAAAGTGAGATATATTTTAGTTACACGACCAGTCCAATTCTGTAAATAGTACATTCTACCTAGGTACCTAGTCGGGATAGGGAATGGCTGACTCATCATTATTGGTAATATTACCGTGACAGGACCCAACAGGACCCAAGTCAGGGCTACTCGTTCACTGGCTGCCCTACTTTCCATTGATCCTCTCAGGCCAATCAATGATTCAATCGTGGCAAGTAATTATAGACAGTACCCTAAGTAACTTATTACCAGGCACCAAATACGTCAGGGGGCTGATCCATTCCAGCTTTTTAGCTTGTCCTCTTTGGACACTAGTGAGGAGCTCGACGTGTGTTCCCCAGAGTGTAGATCGGGGTGAAGCTCAATATGGAATGGTTGGCTATACAAAAAGAAGTCGTCGCCCTCGAACTTATCATTCAAACTATACCAACATCAACAACATCACTACTGCCTTATTGTCTTCTTTTATATTTTATTATCTTTCTATCTTCCTCCATCTTTTGTCTATATCCTATTTATTGTTATAATCTCTGCTCACAGTTCAACACTTGTGTGCCTCACCTTGGACGCTTTCTATACATATCTCTTCATCTCTCAGCCTCTTTACCTCTTTACCTCTTTACTTTCGACCTCTCTATCTCTCTACCTCTGTTTAATACCCTAATATCCTTCTTTTATTCACCTCCACCTCCATCTTCAAACCTCAAACCTCAAACCACAACCCAATTCCTACACTTCCTCCATTCACAATGCCGCACAAAGTGAACGACTCCAATTCCACACTGGCAAGCAGAGCCAGCAGCAACGATCAGGTGGTCGCCACCGAAGTCCGAAGTCTAAGTATGTCAAGTGCCTCACATCCCTGTCCCCGATCTCCAGATTCAGCCCGAGCTAATGCACACCCTAGCAACCAATCCCGTCCGCAGACCTCCGGTGGTCATCCATAACAAGGGCGGCCGGATATACGACGAGACGCGGCCGTCTGACTGGGACAAACAACGCTGGAAGTAGTTGTTCTCTCTACAAACTCGAATTGCCTACGCAATTACTTCAATTGCTGCATAGGTTCAACTCGGAAGGAGACGCGGATCCCATTTTACACGCGCGTTACAAAAGGCCCAAAAAAAAAAGCGGTCCAGACCAAAAATGAACCAAAAAGACCAAAAAAAAGAAAAGTGAGGCGATGATCGACGAACACGATTTGGGGAGATCATTGGACGCCAAAACCCCCTTTTTTCGGCTTCTCGTCACCGTCACCGACATCCTTTTTTCTCTCTTTTTTCCACTTTTTTCCCCCTGACCAAATCGGGACGTCAGATTGTCTGATTCGGATTCTCGGAGCTTCTGTGCCGTTTTTCCCTTTTTTTTGACTATTGCCTCAACCTGAATCCCTGCGTCTCCCCGGATTTTCGCGTCTCCACCCTTTACCCCCTTGTATCATTATTCTGGAGGCGTTTTATTTGTTTCTTGTCTCTCTACTCTCTGCTAGGGTTCACTCTTTGTGATCTCCTAGTTATACTCTTCCCTAACTTTTACTTTCTTACCCTTCCAACTCTACTGGTTACTGTTGAAACTACACATGTTTGTCCCTCGACATGGTTACCAAGCAGCTAGCTGCATGGTCATGCTGTGAGGGCTAATTGGGCTGACACCCTATTTTGTTTTCTTTTGTTGCGATGCATAGCGTGGGTATTATATTATTATTATTGGATCTGCTGGATCTGGATTTATTGCGAATGAGCGAAATTGTATTCTCGAGGGAAATATTATTGTTTTATTATCGAATCTCACATTCATTTGATTTGTGCTTCTTTTACTTTTATAGAATGATATATACATATATATATTTATATAATGAATAATAATGAATAGGTCAATTCGGCTGCAATCTCCTCTCTAACATATTTGTGCCGTCTCTAACAATAATTGTGAAGATATACATTCCAATTTGCCTCGTCGCCTGTTATCTGTTATCTACCCAACTAATGATAGTTGCTCCAAACACGTTATCTACTGTAACTGCAAACCTAGTGTTATGAGCAAATATGAAGGAATATGGCGCCTTTCCAATGATCTACCTCCAATTCAGCCATAGAAGTCTCTAGCTAAGAATGGAAAGTGTCATATGCAGCACCCAATCCTAACTGGTTCATCCTCTTTTCGAGCTGCAGCAGCAATTGGCAAAGATTGGGGGTAAGCGGGGAAGTTATGTGTGATTGAACAGTATAGCCTTTGATATATAGTGATAGTGTGTTGGCTGTGACTTGGACAAAGTTGGTCCACAAATATATCCTATACTATACAAACAAACCTCGACCACGGTAAAATATATATAACACCTTGTCCGAGTGGCCGGAATATTGGTGGGAAGTACGACAACAAAATAGAGGGCTAACACTAGTAATATACCCAGAGCAAGAGAATGGGCATCGAAGGTGAAATCCAGACAAGAGGCGGCAGATTCCCAACAATTGATCATGGACGAGATAGAACGATGGCTACCATGGAGTAGCTCGCGCACAGCAAATCTATGAAAAAGAAAAATACTCTACAAGACTGAAGAAAGACCACAATTCTACAGCATCCAAAGATTCACTGAAAATGGGATATATTTCAGGGCCAAGCGGCAAAACCGACAACCCCATTCTCAAATCCACACAAGAGATAAAAGAAAAAGGCACCTGGCCTCCCATCTCCATTAATGGATGACGGATAAGCGTTCAGGGCATGTGTCAAAGGCTAGATACAAAGGAAGAGGAGAGCAGAGGGAAAAGAAAAGGCACCGTAAGTCCGACGAAATATGGACTCGGTGGCCTTTCCTCCCCAGAAGACATATGATTTTTTCCGGGTTTTCACACTTTTTTTGCTTTTTTTTGTCACCTCTATGAGCCCGCTCTCCTGGCATGTGAGATATCTGGGTATCATCAGACAAGGGGCGGATTCAAGCACGTTGCATCTTTTGTGCAACGTGGGAAATGAGGCACATGAAAAACGGGGTTTGGGGGTTTTCGAGGGCAAAGGGGTAGGGGTAGGGGTGGGGGTTGGGGACTGGGGACGCGATTGGGAAAGCAGCTAGACTGCTAAGGATCGTGGAGGGGAGGGGTTGGGGATATCAAAAAGGCAGCACCAATTGGTGCGCAAAATACAAAGTGTCAAGGGTGCATGGTATTCCTTGACAAATAGAAGAGAAGTAAATATGACGAGGGGAGTAGAAAGCAGCAAAATGTATTCTTGAGAAACAAATAAATCAACATGGCTCGCGCTCGCAATGCTAGATGGTTAAATCAAGTGCAACTGATGACCCAAGACTAATGGGTATAAGGAGCAAATGGGTATGCAATTTTTGGAACATGAAGTGAAGGGCTGGTCTCGACTCTGATTCCGCGGAACCAGAGCCGAATGCAAAGCGTAAAGGACGAAAGTGGATGCAGTCGAGTTCGGGGGATATGGCACAGGTCGACAAGCGGGTGTGGCGCGCATTGAGTATTAAGATGGAATATCGAGGTGAATCAATGCGGAATCAGATGCTCCTTGGAGTCATTCTATGAAGATGAGAGAAATGAAATGAAGTGCTGGAAATATGTGCAATGACCAAATATCATTTGGATTGCTGTTCGTTCCGTCGTTTCTTTTACATCCCACCCTGATAGGTCTGGCTCATTCCCATATGGGTAGGTGCCATAGGGAACTGCTGGAGTGCTGCTTGCTGAGCCATGTACAAAGCCTCCTGCTGTTGCTGGTATGCTTCGCTGTTCATGTATTGCATCTCAGCGGATGGTACGGGGGAAGGGGAACAGCCATGGGGGGCGGTGGGCATTCCGCGGTTGATATCGTGATTGGCCATTTGGGTATGGGCATGCACAAGTGCCTCGTTGTCCGGTGTGATGGGAGGAGTGAGGTAACCATGAGGAATGGCTGTCAACTGCTGAGACTTCTGAGGGGTGGCAAGACCAATCTCCCCATTGTACGGTTTGGACTCGATAGGAGTCTCGACCGGAGGGGTGCAACGGGCGTAGGTTGCCAACGAAGCCTGGCGGTTGAGGAAGTGTTCCATGACCTTCGAGACCCGAGAGTAGTGAGCAGAAGCGTACTTTCGGGCGACGACGGTAGAGGGCTGGTGCAACTGTTGAGACAAGGCAACAAGAGTCATCGAGTCATACTGCGCTGACCAGTGGGTGTGACGGGGCTGCGGTCGGTTAAGAATGCAGCGAGACAACGCAAGAGCAGCACGAGCAAGTTCAGATGATAGCTTAGCGACAAAGTCCCGATGGAACAAGGCAATCTCCAGGATGTACAGAGCCATGTGTTCCACTTCGGGGTCGTAAGCGTCATCCAGAACAGCGTGCTGCAAGAAAGCATCCACAGTCGGGTGTCCAATGGACCAGCCAAGAGTTTGCAGGACATGCCATTCCATCTGAGTGAACATATCGTCGTCGTAAAGAGAACAGCACATCGACTTCAACTCCTTGATGGTGGGGACACGATCCTTCTTGTCATTGTACTTGGCCGCGATGAGTAGAGCTGCACAGCCAACCAACTGGTAGTGGCGCTTGTAGACCACACGCTTGGAGCAGTATCGGTCTAGAAGGTTGATCGCCAAGAACAAGGTGGATGGCAACAGCTGGAACGCAGTGTGGGCCTCGATCAAAAAGTCAAGAAGGTATGGTCGCATGAACCACTGGATCTCGGTTTGGATGTCAATGGACTCAACGTCGGGAAGGGTTTGGGTCTATGTAATGATTAGGTTAGCAACGTATAACCTTGGGAAACAAACGCATCTGATAAAAACTCACATCCATTTCCAACATGTGACTCAGGACATCGTCCCGAAGCTGTTCACTTGTGAGATTGGACAGTTCATCTGCCATAACATACTGGCGCTCGCGAGCCATCTGCTTGTCATGTTCCTGCTTCGCCTGTCGCTCTTGCCGCATACGACTTTCCATTCCGTACTCTTCCTCCACGAAGAAGGTGGGACAAGGACGGTAGTTGCGGTGGTAATCCATGGTTGCGAAAGTACTTGGACCGACCGAAGTGTGAAGCACAAGTTGATGTATGTTTGCCGAGTTTCAATGAAAGGAAGCCTGAAGAACGGGTCTATCAGGCAACGACGGAATTAAGAGAGTGACAGTCGTGGTATTAGTGTATTGGAATGAATGACGAGAAAAGTTGTAACGATTAAGGAGTGGATCAGCGTGAAACAATAGTTCGAATGCTGGGAAAAGGTGGCCGGGAGGAAGTCTTCAAAGGTAAGGCTGAAAGAAATTAATATTAGCGGAGGCCGATGTAAAAAGAAATGATTAAAAAAATTATAGCGTCGAAGTGACGGGAAAGCAAGAGAGTGCGAGAGGGGAAAAGCACAACAAGGTAGAGTGTAGAGATGTACGCCGATATCCATCTAGGAGACGGGAAGGGTCATCACTCCTTCGGAGAAGTACTAACCCAGAAAAGAGCCTTCGGGTAGAGGGCACAATGCAACCCTTACCGTGACGGCAAGACTGGCATCTAGGCAGGAATGATCCGGTGAATTAGGATTCTGTTGGATACCAACGAAGAGATGAAGTACGAGTCAACGTCTTCACCCCTAGGCTAGTGCTGCGGAATGTGGAGTGCAGGAGAATAACCCTATGAAGGGGGTCACAATCATCAGGGGTGATGTCTTGGTAACGGAATGGTTAGAACTCACACTTCACGAATTAACGAGTTGAAAGAACAAGGCTCAGTGAAGAGACTGATAGAGATTCTTAGATGGAAGATGTGCTAGAGATTCAAGGATGAAGTCCACTTGAGGAGACAAGTGTGTTTATATCGAAGATTCAGATGAACAAATCCTAAAATAGGCAACCATGTCAGTCATCTATTCGTCAATTGCATTGGCAGCAGTCAACGGTCCAAAAGACAATGGCAATCAACAATCAACAATTGACAGCAGGAAACAATTAAGCGCAATGAGGTATGTGGTGTCACAGCCTGATTGTCGCCCCAATATCCGGTATGTCCAATAAGAGTATGAGATTTTCATCGACCCCTTAAATGTTCCCACACCTGGCGGGGATATAGAAGCAATCCACAGAGTTGGTGGGACCCTGACGAGACATTGCATGTCAAGCAAAAAGATATGCATTCCACAATTGTAGTTGAGAACATAATTTGCCGTCTGCATGGACAGCAACCTTCATCACTCAATAAACTGCTACTCCCCATATCTGACTCTCGTTGTGTTGTCTCGGGTGGGAAATGAAGCAAAATCGGAGGTATATGAGGTTGGGGCTGCTGGATGCTTGGACATGGCCTTGAGGCCATGCCATGATTATGTCTGGTGGGCCAATTTTTCATGCACTCTGGAAAGGGATTTTTTTTCGTGTGGAAATTCATTCAATCTCTTGGCTCATGTTGAGAAAATTCGAGTATCCGTTGCTCGTCTATCCATCGGGGGCGTTCTGACCTTGACACCATGCACACCTCAAAGCACCAAAAAAAAAAAGGAATTTCTTACCCAAAGTTTGAAGCTCAATGTCAATCTGATACCGAAAACGAATTCGTATCAACAAAAAGTCAACTTGAATGGATTTCCTACGCTGTCGCTCGTCTAACCGGCAGGAGCTGGAACAGGAGGGTCCAAATCGTCAAAAGTCCGAAGGATCAGGGAGGCACCGGGCGGACAAGGACGAAGGATCGCCGTTTGAGTTAACAAACGTCGAATTGGAAGGTCAAGTGCGAAAGTGAAATCGACTCGACTTGAGTGCTAGTACAGCGGGCTAAATAAGATTGCGTCGACTGGAATGTCGTCGAACCGTAACTCAGCCAGTAGACCAGACTCTGGGGTCTCCGTAGGATTGGCAGGGGAGGAGAGAGGGGGGGAAAAAGGGAAGAGAAAAGGGTATGAAGAAGAGAAGGAGAGAGGTACAAGGAGGAGATTTTTGACTTTCTCTCTCCAGGCGGGTGTGGGAAGAGAAAGAAGGAAAAGGAAGAGGTTAAGAAGCTGAGAAGACACGGAGATACACACGGAGAGAGCTGGTTGTATGGGTTGTACGGTAATCCACGAGACAAGTGGAGGCTGAAGGTTAGCATACAGTGTACAGTAAATGTACAGTAAATTTACAGTATGTTCCATAATTTACGTATCCCAGGGGAAGATCGGTAATTTTGATAGGTAACTAGGGCTTCTTTTCTCTCTGCAAGGATATAAGACAGGAGTTGAAACCTGCAAAAACTGCTTGAAACTGTAGTGATTATTTAGAACTTCAGAGGTTTCAAACGTGGGAACAGGCACAAGGCACATAGGCACAGGAACAGAGATACCCGAATTAGGATATTCGTACATTTCACTAACCTGATAACTAAAACAACTAAAACTAAAATAACTAAAAATTATCGAGTACTAGTATTCGTGTTCCAGAACTCCAGAAATCCGATGTGTCTACCATTGCATATAACTTTTGAAACTCGAATATTGCGTTTTCAACCGTATGCCGCGACCCAGTCATTTTCTTAGACTAGTAATTTGAAGGAGTTTCTTCGACGGTGGAGAGATCTCCGTCGCTACCGAGCCATTTCAACCATTTCAAAGCCCATTTCCCTACAATTTTCGTCCTAATACATACTTTTTGTATGTACCTGTCCATAATTCTCCGAAATTCTATTGCATTTTCCTATTCTAAAAGAATTAAAAAAAAGAATTAAAAAAAGAAAGATAAATGGAGCCAAGAACAACTGCGAGTTCCGGCCCCGAAAAAAGCTCCTGATCGACAAAGTATTAAGGCCAATCTCAGCCATTGTTGGCTCGTCATCCAGCACCTTGGTTACTAGTGCTGCAATGGGCTGGGCTCTCTTACTCCGTACGAGGCCTCCGATACGGTCGCGCGTTCCAGGGTCTGCGGGCTGCGGGCGTTGACTGGTCCAGAAGCCTGGGATTGTCCTGGTGTTGACTTCATCTCGCGTGTTTCCCCCCATTCGCGTACCTCAGCTGGGGTGTGCTTGGGTTGTCCTAAATTGATAATCCGAGCCTCCTTTGTCTTGCAGGGATCTCGGTCTCCTGCGAGTCCATGTGGGGATATTTTCCAAGATTCGGTCTTCGGTCGCAAAAGCAGGTTCTCGTAAATTTGGGCACGTTTTCCCAATTCCTCTCTTTTACAATCACCTTTTAATTAATTCCTATTTGGATCAACGCGTATATGTAATTTGGGTTTTTTTCTTTTTTTGTACAGAGTACAGAGTATCACTTTACAACTCATCCCTACGGCATCTGCCGCCTGTGACACCACTGGAGATGCACTTGATTTGTCCCCAGCTTCTCGACCTGAGATAAGGTTTGTAGACGTCTCGACTCATCAGGATTGACTGGTTTAGCCGTGAGAATCCCACTCTTTACTCGATGCGTAAATTCTCCAGGTCAATATCTGCGAATCATATCCCTGTTGCTCTATACAATTGCGACTCGGAGATTTCCATCATCTCCCCTTACCTCATCCCCTTACAATAAAAAAGTTCAATGAGGGCGCTCTGTAAGGTCCAGGGATTAACCTCAGCCACTCAATCGCATATCCAC